CGAAAATAATCCCATGCTATATCTGCGAATCACGCTCTCTCCGAAAGCCGTGTGAAACTACGAATGCACTTAGCCAATCTATTTTCCTTCAGAATTGCGACTCCTCGGCCCAACCGCATCCAAGAAACGCGTGCCACCGTCTACTCTGAATATCTCCGTCGCTTCGGTTCTCCACGTTTCGTTGGCACTCATCAAATCTCACGTCGCCCTGTCAAGATCTTCCAGGAGCTCAGCTATCGGATCATCAGAAAACACACTTCGAACATTGACATGTAAAATGCGTAATTCGTCATGCCCAGACTTAGGGAAGCCCCCCATCGGCAGCGCAGCGCCCCCGGGCCCTCCAACATAGAGTGTTTCAGCGCTGCTATCAGAAAATCGCCATCTACGTGTTAGAATGCTCCACGCCCTCCCACCTTGAATGAAACCATCCCTAAACTGAGCCTGTTTCCCTTTGCGCGCATGCCCCTGAACTGCGCTCCAACATGTGGTCACCCGCTGTTCTCGCTCTCCGTGGATGGGTCCGGGTTCGCCTTCGTCAACCACATCTTCATCGAATCCTCCACCACCTTCTCCATTGCCTTGCCTGTCGCTGTTGCTGTTGTATCACTCCCCCTTTATTCTGATCCAACCCATCCGCTCAGAAAAAACCAGCGAAGATACAGTAATTCAATTCCTGTGCACTCACCGAGTGTCACCAGTCACCAAGAAGCGGCGACGCGACTCGCCCCACACAAACCCACCCCAACAAAAAAGGCGAGCAAAACGCAAACCTCCAGTTAACCACTTCGAACAAAACAGCGATGACGACGCGCCAGAACACTTACCGGGACGCATGCGAACCCTGCCGCGAGGGCCTTCGGTGAAACTCCCTGAATCTCCCTATGAAGCCATTCACCGTGTGAGGGGCGTGCCAAAACTGGACTTGGGAAGCACGTGAGCCCTGCTATTGAGGCTTCGGTGGAGCTCCCTCTGAGGCCACGAACTGTGTGCGTGTGCGCGTGCCCAGATTTGCCAGGGGGCATCTGTGAACCCTGACACTGGGGCCTTCGGCGGCGCTGCCCATGAGGCCACGCGCCCCAAGGAGGCCCGCGAGCAAGCCGCGGTCCGCATCACGCGCCCCAAAGAACGCCGAGGAACCCCGGAAAAAACGGAGTCGAAATATCCTGCGAAGACTTAGTGCGCTCCCCGAGAAAACGGGAAACAGCGACGCCCGACCTCGGGGGGTTACCCACTGGAGGCTCCGTTGAGGGGGGTGATGCTGTTGTGTGCCACTCCCCCTCCTCATCGTGCCGAGCTGCTTTTCTCTCCTCGCCCTGCCCACCCCTCGTGGCGACCGTGCGTTTCGGCCAAATGATTTTGAATGTTGTGTCTTCGCGACTGTCATGCTCGGAAAGGTGGAGCTTCATGTGCCCCAGCCTTTTCTCACGTGCTCGTTCCTGACCATTTGAAGAATACCTTCCCGAATATGTCCTTGCTGTCTACGTCCCGGAGCTTTTTGTAGAAACCGATCTTCCCCGTCACGGAGTTGAAGGTAATCGCTGCCAATATGGTTGGGTCTTTCGGTGCTGTTACGTCAGCGCTGGTATATTTGCCTACCTGCCCTCGATGCCTGCGATGATATTCGACGCCTCCACTTGACCGGCACTCGTGCGAAGCCCAAGGCAACGTCCTGTCTTGTACGCTCCTCCTCATGCTCTGTGAAATTGAGATGTCCTGTATCCTTACCCGAACCATGCCCCTTCACAATATCTTTCCCCAGAGTCGGCAACTCTACCTTTTTTATGATGCTGTCCCTGATGATGTTCATCTCCCCCTTGACTTTATTCACCGCTTCCTCTGCCATGCTCGCGGCGTAGTGGGCTTGCTGTGCTATGTCTTTCGCCTCTTTCACGTCCTTCTTCGTGTTTTTCACGTCGTTGTTCATATCCTTCATCCTGTTCATCATCGTCTTCATCGTCTCCTTCTCGCCCATGTCCTCAGCTAGTTCCCCCATGCCATCATCCACTACTTCCTCCTTCTCTCATTCTTCCGCCTTCCGTTTCTTGTCTTTTGGAGTGGAACAAATGCTTGAATCCGCCGTTTTCGTTCCGGGAATGTCATTGGGCGCCATCCGGAACGAGAGATGAACGGCTGCAATCGGCGAGCCGTGCCTGATTGAGCCTTTTGCTTGCGTGAGCCCTAACCTTGCTCGGGCCTGGAGCCCCGCGTAGCCAATCATGGCCTTCTCGGTCGACGGCTCTGGGAAGATCCTCTCGTGTTAGGGCAACTCTGGAGCCCGCTGCGGGTCGGTTTGGTGATGCACGCGGATTTTGCATCCCACGTCGAGCACGATAGCCATCGAGATGCGCTTCCAACGCCAAATCGCCCTTCACGACCCTGCACAATAAGGCGCCTGTCACACCAGTGAAAACTCCTGGACCACAAGAGATCCACTTTACCAGCTTGACGGAATCGACGCCAGTCGTACAAAAATGAGCAGCCCTGCCAAGGGTCTCCCGATAGCTGGGTTCGACCGCGCAGGAGGCCCCCGAGGAAGCAAGTCAGGCGAAGCTAGCATGTTGTCGGAGGAAGGCACCCTGATATGTTGCGCGATTTGATCGTACGAAGACGAATGCAATACATCAACCTGGCACTTGCCACAACACCGCGGACCGCCAAGTTTTGTCCCTCGAGATACGGGAACGAGGATGGACCTAGGGTCGAGTGTTGCCAAAAGTGGTCCCAGCCTGGAGTGTCCCCAGCTTCTCGAGCCTTCTTGGAGTCTTAGGTCCCTCTGGACCTCGTGAGGGGTGTCCTGGAGGCCGTCGAGGGTCCCCAGGAAATATTGAGGGCACCTTGGGCCAGAGACACGTCTGGCAACACCCGGTGGGAGAGCGGAAGATGAGCCAGGAAATGTGGAAGACGGGGTGCACGGAGCTGTTTCGGTGCCGCGATTCGCCACAAGAGGCGTACGATCCGTCCTATCCCGAGAGCACGCAGGGTGTGCTGCTGTAGCGCAGCATGCGCGACTTACCACAGTCGCCGCACATCATCAGGACGCAAGGAAAAGATGCAAGACCCTTGAGACTCCACATTGCAACAAACTCCGGAGATTGGCCGACGAATAGCTAAGCATGGGCTGGCAAGGGAAATATGCAAGGCACTCCTTGGATAACCACCTCATTCTTGCTCCTTGGGCGGTGACCGTAGCCCTCGAAGCAGCCGCCCCCCACTTTCATCTGCGCGGTGTCCAGACACACCCCAGAGCCCGGCCCCCTTCTCAACTCGGCCCCGTCCTGATTCCCAAGCTTCCGCCGTCCTGACGTGTGCCAGTAACGCATGGCTCTAAGCCTGTTGGCCTCGCTCGTCGAGCGGATGTCGCGCCACAGTCGTCGTGCTGCCACGAGGAACGCTGAGGCAGCGGAAAGTTTCTTTTCCCAGCCGCGGCGAGCCTCAACCACGAACAGGGCCCACGACGCGCGCGACCCGAATGCTGGACCCCCTCATGATCCTAAAACGGTCCTTGTTTCAGCGTCTTGCTTGTGTCCCGAAAGCCGATCGCCCCCCTCGCCTTCCTCCCGTTTGGAGGCAACAGGGGGTTTGGAACGGATGGGCCCCGAGATCATCCGTCAAATGGGGGATTAGGGCAAGTCCGTTCAACATACAGTCGGGCTGCTGAAAGAAGGAACGCTAAATGAGGAACGAAGCCCCTTCTTCGCCCTGTAAGCGCCTCCGTGCCCCAGGAGGGCAAGAGAAACAGCACTGGAGGAACCTAAGGAACATCGAGCCCCTTCCGAACCCAGACTGTTCCTTATTTCAGCGTCTTGACTGTAAACCCCCAAACCTCTTCCGGGGTCTACGAGGTGGAATGCGTCTCCTCCCAGGGTGCGTCCTGACCAGACTTCTGAGGCGGACCCCTCCGTGGCAACGAGGGCTCCCCAGGACGCGCAGCGGTGGCGGCATCTTCTCCTCCTCTGAGCCCACGCGTCCGGGGACTCGACCGACCCGACTGCTGACCAGTCTCGGCGGCGACGATAGGGGCGAATAGCCCGGGGGCGAGCATTACACGTATTCGCCCGAGAACCTCTTCGAAGACATAGATCATCGGCGCGCCTGGATGCACGTCGCTCATTGCTAATCGTGCTCATTCCTGATTCTGCTCGCTTCTACTGGCTCCTGGCCCCCTGGTGGCCAGGAAGAGGCCAAGGATGGCAGAAGTAGCAATGACAGGATCTAGGCCCCCGAAAAATCAAAGAACTCTCGAGTCCTCAGAAATGAACAACGTGTATTTTGAGCAGGGACCGACCGTCCCGGCATTTCTATAGTCCAACCACGAAGTGCTCTTAGAACCCAAAAATGTTCGAATAATAAAAACACGGTTCTTAGAACATAAACCCGATGTGCTAAAACAAGACAGACTCCGCCAGAAATGTTCTAGGAACATTTCGTGCAGACCACAAAAGGTTCTTAGAACATTGGGCGAGCCAGGACGCTTCGCCACTGCTTGCATCTTGCCCCCCTGAAAAATCAAAGAACCCTCGAACACCTAGACGTGCACAACGTGCATTGCCCTCCCCTGGGCTGCTCGCCCCTATATCGCCGCCTCTGGCAGCCCCTCTGCCGATCGCGAGAAGCCGCCGGCCGCGGCCCGCCCGGCGCTCGCGAGGCGTGGCGCACGGCCGAGCCGCCGCCGCCGTGGCCGGCCGCACGGCGCGCCGCGGCTCGGCCGCGCGGCCGGGCGCCGCTCGGCCGCCAGACGAGTGCGCACGCGCCGCCACCGGGAAGGGGCAAGGATAGGGGGGGACAGGCACAAGGGGGGGGATGCATCGACCCGCAATCGGCGATACGTCGTCGACAGATCGGCGATGGGCCCCCGATGGTGAATCCGCACCTTCCTGGGCGGGGTGGGGCCATTGGGCCCCCATCGGCGATCAATGGGCGATTGGGGGTCGATGCGTCCCCCCTCTGTGCCCATCCCCCCCTATATCGCTGCCCCGGACACCGCGGCCGCCCTCCGC